TTTAATTCATTTATAGTGATTAAATTGGGGTCTAAACTGATTTTTTTCAGTTTACGCTTTACAAAATTACGCTAGGGCATGGAGAAAAGAGAAAAGAGGAGAAAAGAGAAGAAAAAGCCAAAGTTCGTCGCGTTCTTGAGTTTCGCTTGTGGATATCTCCAAGGGTTAACCCCTACGAGGTATGTGAGATCACATAGCGTTGGGTTCATTCACCCAAGCGCCAATCATGATTTAATTCAGTGTTTTTATGTTCTTGAAGTAGAGAAATTGAGTTCTTGATGGATTTTGTTGAAGTTTCTATTAGGATCTTGATTGTTGAGTTCTTGAGTTAATTTCATGAGATTTAAGGTTGTTTTTTAGTAGATTCTTGTATACTTTTTTTGGGTATTCAAATATAAGTGTTTGGGGAAGAAACCAATCGAATCTAGACAAATTAGGATAAAAAAACGAACAAGAAAATTCATCAAATTCTGGGAAAAAGGATGGGGCGCCATGTCACTCAGTGCGCCCCACATCAGTGTCTGAAGTTTGGGCTCTGAGGCTTCGTGCCACTCAGTGAGCCCTAACCCAGGTTCAATAGTTTTGGGTATGGCCCCCTGTGCCACTCAGTACGCCAGGGTGGCCAAGTTCTCTACCCTTTTCCCACTTCTTTCCGTTCGAGTTGCCTTGATTCGTACCTATGTTTTCTAGTTGATTTCTACACTTTAAGGTACGTCTAAACAACATGAGATAATTCATAAACATGAATCATAACCTTGAATCCATAAATTCAAATTCAAGGAAAGTTAAGAGTCATGTCTAGAGAGTTCTTAGAGTCTTTTCAAAAGTTTTTTGCAAATGCTTTAAACTTGTTTTAAGACTTGAGTTTTGAGTTGAGTAAACAGTAACAAATGAAGTTCATTTTCTTCAAAAGAGTATATGGGAACTATGTAGTCCCAAAGTGTTAATGTTTTCACATTTAAACAAGAAAGGAAACACTGATTTCTAAAAGAGCCTTTGAGTTAGTTTTTGAGTAAAGAGTAAATGTTTTCACATTTAAGAAATAGAGGAAACATTGATTTCCAATAGAGCCCTTGGGCTAGTTTTGAGTAATTATCTCAAACCACATAAAGAGTTATGTTTTTAAACATATGAGCTAGTTACATTTTGGGAGAAGTATTGAGCACCGATTTGGGGACGAGCGTGAGTTCAAACAATTCATAGTCTCCATAAACCGTGTAGCCAGCATAGGTAGAAAAGGGTCATACTTTATAGATGATTCCTTAGTGATTTTTAGCATAGACTAGTGGATCCACTTAGTAGTTAGGTTCTATACCCCCGGCAAGGTATAGGATGGCCCTGCTGCGTGAGGCAAGACGTTGTATCATCACATAGCTCATAGTGATGGTTGTCGGTTAGAGAAACTCTCACAAATATATTTTGTATTCTTATATACAGAGAGTTATTTGTATTTTCATATACAAGCAGAATTTAAATGGTATCCATGCATAAAAACTGAGTTAATATTGTATATTCAATACACAGAGTTGTTATCCACATGTTTTAAAAGCTTTTCTTTATATTGCATTTATATTACTGCTTTATATTGAAATGAGTTGAGTTGAGACCTGGTATGTTCTTTCAGTTCCCTTTCAAGCTTATGTCTTGCTTTAGAATTCCCCTCGCATGCTCTTACATTCAATGTACTGATGCCAGTTGGCCTGCATCTTTTTATGATGCAGATACAGGTAACCAAGATCAACATCCAGCGCATTATTGATCCAGTTGAGCTTTAGAGTTGTTGGTGAGCTTCCTTGCTTCTGGATGATCCCCTTTTTTATTGTTTTCAGTATTCTAGTTCTTTAGGATGTCGTGGGTCTTTTCCCTATGTCCACCTCAGTTGTTAGAGGCTTCATAGACAGTTAGTTATTGTTAGTTCATTAGTTTTTCAATTTCCATTCAGTTATGTTGAGACTTGAGTTGCCACTTAGGCTAGTGAATGTTTATTTTTAAAACATTCTAAGATTATCTATTGAGCTTTCAATTTACTTTATAGAGTACTTTTATCATAAGTAAGTCTTCCTCTGAGTAGTAAGACAGGCCAAGGGTTCGCTTGGGGCCAACAATGATTCTCGAGTGCCAGTCCCACCCAGGGCGTAGGCTCGGGGCGTGACAGTAACATTTGACACCCAACTCAAACACTCAATATGCAAAGTAATAGAACATTTCAACTAAAATAAATGTCAAGGAAAGGATTAGTACCATAATTTGGAATTTCTCTGGACTCAAAGTGATATGGTATCTCTTCTTCATATCCTCCTCAGCCTCCCAAGTAGCTTCCTCAACAAACTGATTCCTCCACAGAACCTTGACTGATGCTACCTCCTTGGTTCTCAACTTGCGAACATGGTGATCTAGAGTCTGAACTGGAATCTCCTCATAGATAAGTTATCCTTAATACCAATATCTTCAGTAGGTATGATAAGTGAATGATCTCCCATACACTTCTTCAACATAGAAATGTGAAATATCAGATGAACTGCTGTCGCTTGGGGCCAACAATGATTCTCGAGTGCCAGTCCCACCCAGGGCGTAGGCTCGGGGCGTGACAGTAACATTTGACACCCAACTCAAACACTCAATATGCAAAGTAATAGAACATTTCAACTAAAATAAATGTCAAGGAAAGGATTAGTACCATAATTTGGAATTTCTCTGGACTCAAAGTGATATGGTATCTCTTCTTCATATCCTCCTCAGCCTCCCAAGTAGCTTCCTCAACAAACTGATTCCTCCACAGAACCTTGACTGATGCTACCTCCTTGGTTCTCAACTTGCGAACATGGTGATCTAGAGTCTGAACTGGAATCTCCTCATAGATTAGTTATCCTTAATACCAATATCTTCAGTAGGTATGATAAGTGAATGATCTCCCATACACTTCTTCAACATAGAAATGTGAAATATCAGATGAACTGCTGCTAATTTTGACGGTAGCTCCAATTCATAAGCTACATTGCCAATCCTCTTGGATATCCTGTAAGGATTAATATACCGGTGACTAAGCTTCCCCTTCTTGCCGAACCTCATAACACCCTTCATGGGTGAAACCTTCAAGTAAACCCAATAATCTACCTCAAACTCTAAGTCTCTTCTCCTAACATCAGTATAGGATTTCTGACGACTTTGCATTGTTTTCAAGCTTTCTTGAATAGTCTTCACTTTCTCCATAGCTTGATGAACCAAGTCTGGTCCTATCAACCAAGTCTCACCAATCTCAAACCCTCCAATAGGATATCTACATCTTCTCCCATAAAGAGCCTCATAGAGAGCCATTTGGATGCTAGAGTGGTAACTGTTATTATAAGCAAACTCAATAAGAGGTAAGTGATCATACCAATTACCCTTGAAATCAATCACACATGCCCTCAAATATCCTCTAAAGTCTGAATTGTGTGCTCTGCTTGACCATTAGTCTGATGATGGAAAGCAGTACTCAAATTTACCTTCGAACCCAAACCTTTCAGGAAAGACTTCCAAAATTGTGCGGTGAATTGTGCACCTCTATCTAAAATGATGGACACCGGAACTCCATGAAGTCTAACTACCTCTTGAATATATAATTTAGCATAATCTTCTGCTGAATGGGTAGTCTTAACCGGTAAGAAATGGGCTTATTTAGTCGTTCGATCTACAATCACCGAAATCGAATAATTCTGTCTGCGAGACCATGGTAAACCTGTAATGAAATCATATTGATCATCTCCCACTTTGATTCCAGAATATCTATGTTCTGAGAAAAACCACCTGACCTCTAGTGCTCTACCTTGACTTGTTGGCAATTCGGGCACTTAGCAACGAACTTTGCGATACACTTCTTCATACTACTCCACTAATTGACTTCTCTCAAGTCATGATGCATCCTTGTGGAACCCGGAAGGATAGAACATCTGGAGCTATGAGCTTCCTCCATGATCCTCTTTTGGAGTTCATCCACCCCTGGCACACACAATCTACCTTGATACCTCAATACACCATATCTCCCTTGTTCAAAAGCCAAAACTTTTTGCTTATGAACATTTGCCTTTAATTAAAAAAAAAAAAGGATCTTGGTCTTGTTTCTCTTTCCCCTCAGACACTAATAATGATTCAGCCCCATTCATCACCACTACTTCTCCTTCATTGGAATCCATTAGTCGGACTCCTTATCGTGCAAGTCTATGCACATATTTTGCTTATTCTTTCTTGTCCTCCTCAACATGAGAAGTACTACCCATAGACAACCTGCTCAAGGCATCAGCAACAACATTAGCCTTACCTAGGTGATAGAGAATAGTCATGTCATAATCGGTGAGTAATTCCAACCACCTCCTCTGTCTGAGATTAAGCTCTTTCTGACTGAACACATATTGAAGACTTTGTGATCGGTGAACACATCTACATGTACACCATAAAGATAGTGACGCCATATTTTCAAAGCAAACACTATGATAGCTAACTCTAGATCATGGGTTGGGTAATTCCTTTCGTGTACCTTAAGCTATCTGGAGGCATAAGTTATAACTTTACCATTCTGAATTAGCACACAACTCAGTCCAACTCTGGACGCATCACAATATACCACAAAATCTTGTGTACCTTCTGGTAAGGTAAATATTAGGGCAGTAGTCAACCGATTTTTCAATTTCTAAAAGCTTTTCTCACAAGCTTCAGACCATTGAAACTTAATTATTTTCTGAGTCATCTTGGTCAACGGGGATGAAATAGATGAAAACCCCTCGACAAACCTCTTTTTCAAGTGAATCTCCAAGTCATAAATATATGAGCCAAATAGATCTATTTCTTGTGTGAGGTCAACTCTTCCTTCAATCATTTGGGTTGTCATGTATGTCAGACCATCACAGATAGACTTTTGAAACTTTAGAAGTTGAGTTTGTTCTTGTAGCCAAGATTGGCTCACTATCTCTGCTTCTTCATAACTTTCTTCTTGCTGAGATTCAATATTTTCCTTTAATTGAGTATTAGCTGGGCCTGTAACTTGCAAATTGATCAGCGTCAACCTTAGCTTGAAGCTCCATGATTATTGCCTGTAGTTTCATGTCTTTTGCTCGTTTTTCCATCATCATTGATTCAAGTTCCGTGAGTTTTGATTGTAGTTCCCTTTGTGCTAAATTACTTTTGTCCACCATGTTCATAAATTGCTTTAAGAATATATTGTGCACCTCTTGTTCAACATTCTCCACTTCATCACCCCTGCCAACATCACAAATAACAGAAGAATCATAATAGGGGTTCGAAGGATGTGAATAAGAGTTAGGACAACCGCTCCAATGAACATATTGGCCACCACATATATGACATATAGGACACTCGATCTCCACGTGGTGTCCATCACAATAATTACAAGGATATTTATAAGAATACCCCTCACCCAACCACGATTTATCCCAATCATCCATATCAATAAGAGTACCAAATTATTCAAAGGAAAGAAAAAAAATATTTGTTTATAAAAACACTAGAAAAATTATAAACTTAAATAAATAAATAAAAAGTATAACCTAGAAGAATAGTTAATGTCTAAGTCTCCGGCATCAGCGTCAAAAACTTGTTGCTCCCAGTTGCACACGCAAGTGTGCGCGGTCACACAAGTAATATAGTGGCTCTAAAAGAGCCGGATTATCGAACCAAAAGGACTTGTCAATTAACTATTTTACTAAATTATACTAGTCTAATTATTTATTTAAGAGTGCCAAAAAAATTGATTTTTATTCAAAATACTAAGAATGCAAGATTTATTTAAGAGTGACAAAAATAAGATTTTTTTACGACCCAAATAAAGGTATTTATTGACATACGTATTCATTAGGTTTTGAGCCAGAAGAGAAGAGATACAAAGTGTTTTTGTTAGCAACACAAAAAGGGTACAGAAAACGATGTGTTTTAACTTTAGGCATAGATGAATCGTGGAGAGAGACTCAAAGCATTACTTCATCTACTCGTCATTCTATGTCTAGTGTTTGCATTAGAGGAGTTATCTATCAGTTCGTTAGCAATCACGAGCATGTTATAGCTGCAATTGTTGTTAAATCTGAAAATTTTGAAATCATTGAATTGTGGAATGCATCTCACTGGGCGTTATCGTACGAGTTGATAGAGGTGAATGGTAAATTAGGTGTTATAGATTATAGGGGATGGGTAAGTGGATTCTTTGACTTGTGGATTTTCAAGCAGACTCTAGAAAAAGAATGACAGAGACTTATGATTCGATTTCCTTCAATATGGAATGACGTAGTGTTTGGACCTATATCATCTTGCATGTCCCGTGATGGAGAGATTGTATTTGTGGTTAACTTAAACTCGGGTGTTTTTATGTTCGTGTTATGATGTCAATACAAAGTTTTGGAGAGAATTAGGAATCTCATGTCTTCCAGAGAAGACCAATCTCAAAGGCATTTATAGTTATATAGAAAGACTAGTCATTGAGATAATTTCTATGTCGGAATTGTAATATAAGATGGAAAACATGACTCTCTTTGAGTAATTTTTTACTTGTCCTTGGAATGATTTTTATGTAGGAATTCAGAGTTTTTTATGATTTTGAGAACATTCCAGGACTTGCAATCCTATTGCACAATAATTATGAGTATATATAATATTGAGTTGTAGTTAATATAAAGGATTCATTAATTTACATAAGAATATGTAGCACTCGATCATTCTTATTTGGCTTGTTATTGACGGAAAATTACTACTAAATCAATCACTATTAGGGTGTGTTTGGTATGAAGGTTTCCAATTTTCTCATATTTGGTTGGGTTAAATGTTTTAGAAAATGTTTTCCAAATCAACTCATTTTCCTCAACTTTTAGGAAAATGACTTCCCTTTAAAACTTAAGGAAAACATTTTTCAAAACTCTCTTCCAACTTCAAATTACAATTATTTTTTTGTTGAAAAAATCACTTTATTTTGTCCCTACCCTAAAACTAGCCCCCCAACCACCACCCCCCGCCCCAAAAAATTAATAATTTTAAAGCTTGTTTTAAAATTCAATTCCCACCCCTTCCCAAAAAAAAAATATTAAAAATTATTTTTTAAAAGATATTTCTAATTTCAATTTTTTATTTTTT